TTATATATAAAATTTTTAAATAAAAGTCCGGACGGGCGGGTTATTTTTTTTGTTTCATGTTATGAGAAACAAAAAATTAAGTTTATATGGCCTAAGGGATATTTCCCTTCTAAAAATTTTTTTTGAGCTGTGGCACCCATGTTACAGTGTTTAGTCATAAATTTAATATCATCTAATATATCTTGATTGAAAATTTTATTTTGCTGAAATTGAATACTTTCTATACTTAACTCATGGTTATGTTTATTTACAATTATATTAATAGTAATTTCTCCATCGTTACTTGGATACGATACATTTAAATGCCAAGGGCATAAAATTTTTTTAGTAAATGTTTTTTGCTTAAATTTTGATTTATATTTTTTTTCGTGTTCACAAATATAGCTTCTTCTCCAAACAATATCACTATCTTTGAATATGCGATCTTTTATTATTTTAAAACCTCTACTTTTACTCCATTTGTCCAAAAATGAATTGCAAATAATCCAGTTTGAAAATTTCTTTCCTTCATATAAGTTGGGTTTTTCTATATTAGCCTCTGTATAATTGATATCAATATGATCCATAACCGCAAAAATTGAATCTGTAAGATAATCAATTTTTACGCGCATACATATTGCAAGTATTCTTTAATTATATACCTGTTATGTAACTATAATGCATATACTGGTTAGAGAAGTGGCGGATATCAGCTGATATCGTAGTAAAGAGAGAGGTAGACAAAATCTTAGGTCTAAATATATACATATAACTAATCAGAATGACTAAATTTCTCAGAAAGAGAGAGAGGAATGAGCTTAATAGTAACTAATCTCAGCTAATATCTGACACATCTCTTACCTTATACAATATTTTATGTAAAATTTTTTTATGATTTTGGATAACTGTAAAATTTACTATTTATTAGTTGGATCTTTTTAATATATATAGAAAGCTTACCAAATAAAAATTATATACTTTTTTTTTTCTCCTTTTAACCTTAAAGAGAATATCTTACAGTATGTTTCTATTATACAGTATATGCTATTAATTAGAAGCAATTTATATATACATGGCCCAATATTAATTATAAAATATAAAATTTAAGTTTATATTTGTTAATTTTTGGTGAAAGTACAATGAATATTGATTTAAGATTGCTGAATATGCTTTGAAAAGCTGGATATTTTGTTGTTCACTGACTTAAATTACTGTATCATAATATATTGAAAGTTTATTAATAATTTCCTATAAGTTAGCTTAAAATTTATCTATGTTATAGTTAACTCTTTCTAAGTGCAACTTGCTATGACTTTGAAAAGTTTAATATAAAAAAGGATAAAACTTTGTATATATTTAGAGTGTAAAAATCATATAATTGAAATAAAAAGGAAATCTTGCGCTTAGAAAAAATTAACTATATATTAAGAGTTTGCTGTATCGAGAGTAAACTTATACAGTATTATTGTATATGCCTAAGAACTTACATTAAAATTCTTTTCAGTGTTTAGAAAAGGCATTTTAGATAAGTCAGAAAATCCACGAATATAACTTCCATCTTTAAACAGTATCTCTTTATAAACTGTATACTGTTTTTAATATAGTATTTCGTCCTATTGGCTAGACACATATGTACGTACATACATATAATAAATTCATATTAGATACATAAAATCCTAATATGGTAGGATTCCCAGTAATATATGCGAATATATATATATATTTCTAGTAATATATGCGAATATATATATATATATAGTACGTATCTAGGATAGGCATATCTATGATTACGCTTTATCTTAGTTTTATTCTATTGTAAAGAAGTACTGTATTCAAATTAATAAGTATTTATTTTTTATTTAATGCTCTATTTTATACTCATTTTATTTGCATTAATTGAGCAAGAGATTATTGAGATCATTAATCAATTAATGTATTAAACTATACAAGCTTATACGTAGATATTTACCACTATGTTAATGGTCATAGCCGGTTAACTTTTTACCCGAAAGGTTATAGAATCTAGTAACCAGATTTATATCCTATCGAAGTAAGAGAGTAACGGTTATATTCGAATACTAAATAACCTCTAGACATGTAATATTTTATAGTAATCGTCTGAACTTTTAACAAATTATAAAACTAGATATAAACTTCTATAAAGCATTTTTACCTTTTGTATTCGCATTATTTTA